CTTCCCAGGCACAGAGGTGAGGCTGACAGGTCGGTAGTTCCCAGGGTCTTCCTTTCTACCCTTTTTGAAAAGGGCACAATGTTTCCCTTTTTCCAGTCACTGGGGACTTCCCCTGACTGCCATGACTTTTCAAATATCATGGAGACTGGCTTGGCAACTACAATCAAAAGTCTTTCAATACTTGGGGTTTACAACACTACTGGCTATGGACATTCTATGATAACAATAGTTTATTCTGGGTTTTTGTTAGCTAGGACTGCTTCCTATTGCACAGCAATTTTTATAGTATTAATAAACATATTTTTATCAGTATTAATTTCTCTATAGGTAATAAACTGCTTTCTCTTACATGTGTTCACAGCTGTCTATAACTTGGCAAATTTCTTGTCGTTTTATTGTATCAGGTATAGATGAATCCATGTCACTTCATTTTGACAGCCACCCAATCCAGGTAAAAAAAATTGTTTCATTAACTACTCATCAGAGCTACTACATAATAATATACTGTGTGAAGAAGTGAGATAACTCCAACTGGGAGGGAATTATTTTATTGAAATGACAACATGAAAATTATTCGTGCCCCAAGGAGAGAAAAGCAAAACATGCAAAAGCTTAAATGTCCTGCCTTAGACATTTCAAATTTCTCGATATCAACATTTTTTTCTAAATGTAAAGAAAAATTTTGAGACTTTTCTGAAAAACAAAATACGTAAGTTTTACTGGGAACTGTTAGAGACAGCATAGTGGCTGGCGCATGTCTGTGCTACTTTTCAAATAGAAACAGGAACAGATTTCCATTCTTCCAATGCTATTAAATCAAACTTTAAGGTTACTTCACTTATTGTTTATGCACATTTAAAGCAAAGGTAGGTTTTCTCCTTTCCGAAGAGATCTACAGAATAAATGTTTGAAAGCAAACTATTAGAAATATGGAAGAGATGACAAAAGTAGGAATTTAGATGCTAGTCCATTTCCACTTAACAAGGTACAACAATGCCTGTAATGACTACCATTTCTCTGTACTGTTAAAGTACAGAATCTGCAAAGACAGATAAATTTAAATGAAATACAACAATAATCTTTTTGATTATGTATCTATTATTTAAAGTTAAAATTGCATAAATTTTTTTTTAATCTTGTGGCTTTTGTGACTTTATAGAAGAAATCTGAACTCAGTAAAATCTTATTAATACAGTGAAGTAACATGACAGATCCTTTGCTTAAAACAAGCACAAAATTATGTTTACAGGTCTAACTTTAGGCAAGCATACATGCTTGTCTAGGGCAAGGCACAGTGATAGCTTGTAAAAAAGAAATTCAAAGTCTTTTTCTACTGCAGTGCAAAATTTTGGGTAGCATCTAGGTTTTAATTTTTAAAAATACATAGGCATTTGGGTTTATTCAGTTCGTAGAATAAAGACGTGAGCAATTAATTTGTAGTAAGAAAATGAGAATGATGTTTTTCTACTATGAAGTCATATCAACTTACTTTGTGTAGTGCAATATAGAATCCCTAAGGCTGAAAGAATCATAAATAATGCACTACAAAAAACCCAAAATTTTTACTGTGCTGTTGGGTTAAAATGATGACATTTCATATTTCAGAATAAACTAGAATGTGTCATTCATTTGTAAATAGCTACTGGATATCACATTCTGCTCTGCATGAGGGAAGTTACAGAAGGTTGTGCAATTCTAAATGTATTTTAAATAATGGATACAAAAGAGAAGGTGATGTAGGGTAACCAGCAATTAAGATGATCTCTATGTCACCTTCTGGCTGAATTTAAGTATGGCATGCATATCCAGAAGTCCTACTAAATGTGATGTATTACCACGTAGGACCATACACACATTACAGGGGGCTGAAAAGTGTTAAAGGTATTATTTTACCTATTTTAAGGAGAATAGTTTATTTCCCTCCAGATTGTCCTTTCATTCACCAGTTTCACTTCTGAGCTTATAATTTCCATTTTGAGATAGCTTAATGGTTCTCCAAGAAGTGGTGTAATGGTGGAGTTCACACTGTGAAGAAGAGAACATTTACTGATTAAATGGTACAAACATTGTAAGCAACAAGGCAACTGCACCATTTGGAATTCCTTTCTTTGTGATGAGACAGAACTTCAGAAACTGCAGTCCACTGAAAGAGAAGAATCTGTCTTGAAAGGCACGGATGTGATGTAAAGATGCCATGGCAGGAACACCTTTAGATCCCAATCCAGACTGTGATTTATTGCTTTAGGGATGTAATTCTTTCTTAATCTCAGAAACTACAGGAGTTTCCAGGATGTCCACCTTTCTCAACAAATAATCAGTCCAGCTGCCCATCATTGCAAGTATCCAGCAATAAGACTAGAAAATGTTTATTATGTCCAGCTCAGAGAAGAGATCAAAGAATGTTTAAAAAGTAGAACTGTATGCCTTTTCTTATTTAGATTATAGGCTGCTTTGGGAATATCTTGGGTATCAGTTGGGAGGCTTTTAGGAAGCACCATTGTACCATTTTTATCAGAGGCCTATAGTTACCTATAAACTAACTCTGATATTTTTATTCTACTCAGCTAGTAATTCTTCAATGACTTTCTTAATTATCCTTTCTTATTTTCTAAGCTGTGGAGTAGAGGAAAAGATTCTTAGTAGATGGTGTGGTGTCTTAGGACAATTTTTACATGTGGAAGATCTTTACCAGAAAACCACTTTATGTTCTAAGCATTTAGATTTCTAAATATTTGAGATAAGGGATCCCAAAAGACAGAGATTGATTGAGCAGGTCTCCAAATAACAAGACTAGATTACAGTACAAAGTGCTTTCCTAGACTTGTTTTCTTCTTCTGTTCATGTATCTTGAATGGGTGTACTTTGTAAACTCACCAGCTTTCTTGGTGCCTCCAGTACTTGGATGCCTCCAATATCTCTGATCTGCCTGCAGAACATCAGAAGAAAGATACAGGGACCATCAATGCATATGGTCCATGTGACAGACCCACTTTGGAGACAGGCTTATTCTCTTCTCACTTCTGCTCTGCTTCTTAATGCATGATGGCTTCTGAAGTTCCGTGCACACTGGAGTCTTCAGATTTGCTGATGAGCTGGGCAGGATCAAGGCCACAAAGGCAGCATGTTTTCCATTTGCTGGGCTTACCACTTATGGCTCAACACAGCACGTGCCCACACATTCCTGGCCACAAAATCCTGCAGGGAAGTGTGGGTTCCCTAGGGGAGGTGAGAGGGGAGAATATATGGAGGAGATGCTCCGAAGTGCAAAAAGCATTTCACGTTTTTCCTTCTGTGCACTAGTAAATTGCTTGTTCACAAGGACCGCATAAATATTCCTTATAGAAATGGAAGTTTAAATATAGTAATTAAAAAAACACCGCTCTTGCAAACGTATGTATGCAATTTTAGCTGGCTGAGCTACAGAATGAAACCTTCACACTGTCTTATTCTAAATAGAAAGAATTCTCAGACTTACTCCAAATTCGTGCTGGCAGTGGTAAGAAGAGAGGTGTTTGAGGGGCAGAAATAGATTGACAGAGTCCTGATTTGACAGAAAATCCAAGATAGTAAATTATACCATTGTGGGTAATTTGCAAAGGGGAGGGAGATTCTTCTGTGTGTAAAAAATGTTCAATGAAACTACAGGTTTCTGGCTCCATTAAAAAAAAAATGGGTTTTTCTAGGCTTTGGATTCTATAATTTTTTAAGTGCTACTTTTCTGGGTTTTTTTTTAAAGGAACCTTATTCAGTATCAGCTTTTTCTCTTCCAATCACCCAGTTTGTTCCTGTGCAGTGTGAGAATGCATGTGAATTTAACTTCTTATATAGAAACCTTTGCACAGATACTCTCATGGAAAATTCTTTTGAGTTGATAAATTGATTTGTGATGAGATTCCAGAAATGAAAACATGGCTCCTCCTTCTCTGTGGCTGAAACTTTGTGGGTGTAACCAATCCAAGGTTCACACTCCTGACTAAGAAGTTATATCCATCTTGTAATTCATGGTGTAGCTTGGGTTTTTTAAGGGACACAGAGGAACAGCAACAGCAACTCTTTGTTTTGTTTTTTTCAGAATATCTGACTCTTTTAAAAATTACTGTAAGTGTGTTAGTTTATCTTCTGTTGATGGAGAGAAAAGCTTTGGTGTAGGAAGCTTTTTTGTTAAGTAATACTTCATTCTGCGTCTTTCTGTGTGGACCTGCCTTGTGGTGGTATATTGGAGTCAGTGCACATACTGGTTGCCATGAGCATTTGTTCAGTTTCATACCATTCAAATCAGGTATTTAATGGGATCAGGCACTGAAAAGACATTCCTTTAGAAATTTCCTGCCAGCTCTTCAAGCAAACAACTTGCATTTAACAGCTAAACCACTAAAAAACCTTGCCACACGCACAGGTCCCAAGAAAAAGTGCTGAAGTTATCTAGCACTTTCTTAACTAGAGTAAGAAGTTTTCTGTCAGTCTCTTAAGACTAGCTCTACTAGGGAAATGACCTGTCACTGACAATATTTGTTGAATGCCATAAGTCTGTAGGCTGCCAATGGCTGCCAATGTTTCCCTTTGACTGGTGTTTACAAGATTCAGGTAGTAGCTTGGAACAATGCCATGTCTACACTAGGTAGTTTTAATAGTAACTTTTCCACTGGGCAGCAGCTGCCAGCATTGCAATTTCACTTCATTGGGTGCCCATGGAGGTACTTTTCTCAGCACGGTACCTCTATGCAGCAAGAGGCTGCACTAAGATGTGTTGCACTGCTTGTGGGTGTTACATGGTCTCCCACACCATCATTCGTGGTGCTGCTCTTGAAGGCTTCATTACAAGGCACTGAGGGAGCTCAGGTGCACTCTTCTGTCATGCTGTGATCATTTAACGTACCCTGTGCAGAGGAATATGTTTTTTTGCAGCTAATAGGTAGGCTTTTTCTTCCTGAAATATCCTACCTGCCCTCTAGTCGCTGCCATAGTTAGCTCTTACTTTACACTATGTACTGTCTCTTCATCAGAAACAGAAAAAAAAATACTAAGAAATTGCTGGGAAACCCATCCAAAAGATACTACAGTAGCAGGCATTGCTGCAATGGTGAATATTGCAGTGGGCTTTAGGTTGCTCTTGTTCAGAGAAAGGACAGATGGTTGCCCAAGCCTGGCTGTAGACAACCTTTTCCCAGGGACAGTCACCAGGTCTGGGCAGTCCTGTGGCAACTTGTGCTACCACTGCAGCCTGGACCAGCTGGAAATGTGCAAACACAACTTAGAAAATACTTTCCTGAAATCCTTTTTATGGTTGTGGCAGAGAACGTCCATGACAGAGAAGAGCAACTTTTGCTACCTTATGCTGGAAACCCAGTCATAGTCCAGCCTTTTTACTCCTGATCAACCACAGCCTTGAAGAGATTTGTTTTAAACTCCAAGATCACAGTACTGGAAAAATAAGTCATAGTATTTTCTTACACATGTTAAAGTTTTTCTCCTGGAAAAATTCAAATTACTCGATTTTTGCAAGGAATAATTTAAATAGTCTCTATTTTTACTTAGATAATCAGTGTTTTCCTTTGCAATGTTTGCAAATGACAATATTTATTAAATATCATCTCTGCTTATTCTGTCAGAATGTGCATTTAGTTGTTTTTCAGTATTTTCTTCCACAATGCATGCAAGCATAAAACAATAAATTCGAAAGGTCATTCCTTTGTTTTCCCCTCTGCATTTGTCTTGATGCTACTCTAAGAGATGGTTGTGAGGAGGGTGGTTTTTGGGGTGCGTGAGCAAAGTGAAAAAACAACAGAAGCTACCTTCCCCTGTCTTACAGGGGGTTCTTCCTCAGCCCTTTCTTAGTGAGTTACTCTGCTGGCTTATGTGACGTCTCATCTCCCTGTGGTACCTGCATCCTCTATACCTCTCTTAAGGTCTGGGATGCCTGCTACTATCAGATGCCTGTTGTCACTTGGGTTGTGATTAGGAGGCTCTGGTCCATACAAGAATTAGCAAACAGTAGAGGCTAGTGCTGAGGACAGCCACAGCTGCATGTTTTTGTTGGTCTTCCTAGCCGTGTGGTATGGCAGCCTCCACTCCTCCAGCTTTGTCCACCAGTGTGTCTCATGCCAACTTTCCCTAAACTTCAACATTACCTCTGCGGCATCCGTATTAGATGTTTTTATTCACAAAGTGATTTCCTATCTAAACTCCTGAACCTTTCCTTAACTCTGCCTTGGCCTGGTGAATATGCAGCGTGTCACAAAGGCTGGCTTGTGAGGATGAATAGCGGCTTTGCAGAAGCAGGCTGAGGACTTGGGAGAAGAGGAGAACTTTTCACCCTTTTGGTCTTGGGTAGCAACATTCAGAATTGTCACCAGTGAAATAATTTTCTTGAAGACAGATCTATGGTGTGGTTACTCCTAAAGTAGTGTTTGTTCTGCTAGGACTGCAGTATCCATGCAGGTATTTTAGCCTAGAAAGACCTTTCACCAGTGACAATGCCCTTTGGAGAACTGTTTTAAATTCTAGGATTTTATCAACAAATCTGAATCATTAGCTCCAGCATATTCACTAACATAAGTTTTATAGCTAGAATTTTATTCTGTAAACTAGGCCTAAACAATACTTTTTTATAAAGAGACTGGAGGATATGACAATCGAACAGTGAGAGATCATTTTCATGTTTTAGACAGCCTATCTAATTTGTTCTCAGGGGTCTTAAAATATTTAAGACCATATATCTGGCTGCCATTCAACATCGACATAAAACTACCTGATACAGATGTCAGTAAAAATAACTGAGTAACTGGATTTTCAGAGGGATTGGTAATCAGTGTCTTATCTTCTGACTGCCTTAGTTAAAGAACTTCTGAAAATGAGGTTGCAGGATTTGAGCTCAACTAATTAGAACATTCGAAGGAAGTCCTGTGTTGCTTCTTGTTTAACCGTCCAGAACCTTTCCTTATTTGGAATGTATACAAGAGCAACATCACAGAAAATTATGAAACTGTTAGTGCTAGTTTAAAATTTTTGTATGCATCACTGGGGAGTCTGGGGGCAATAGTAGCAATATTTGAATTTGGATTGACCTGTTCAAGAAATTCGGGATTTTTACATCTGAGGGGAAAACATAGAAAGTATTTCACTGTTTACGAAACTGTGCTTTCTGTTCACTAGCTCAAAAAAAATATGTATCTTAGGAAGTATTTGCTACCTCTTCTGCAACAGGAAGCTATAGAGGATTTGCAGCGTTATTCAGAAAAAATTCCCAAGCAAGGAGCACAGCTATGTTGTGCCTGGTTTTGTGAAAGTGTCAGTTGGGAGCAGCAAAGCTGATTTTGTTATTTTTTATGTGTTGTCTTTTCTTCCCTTGGGACAGAAAGCACCATGTCAGAAAAAACAGTTAGTTGCTAAGAACAGGCACTGGAGCCTTAGGGGAGGTGTTACCCGTTAGTATTTGGTCAGTTATCAATACTATCACCTGCCTGATGAGGGTTATTTCTCTCCTTTTGCTTTCAGTGGCCGTGTTCCCCACTGGGGCAGTGTCCTTGTCCCACTCCAGCAGCCACCCCTCTCTTGGATGTGACCTACAGAGTAGTCCTCTCCATCCTTCCCCTCAGTTACCTCTTCTCTCAGCTGCGGACTCAGAGAGGTAAGACCAGCCCCTGCTTTTCCCATGCTGAGCCTGGGGCAGAACTGCCTTCAGAGCTGCCAGGATCGATTGAAACTGAATTGTCAATGTCCAGAAAGTTGCTGATGGCAGGCCCCAGCTAACAGTTGCTCTGGGTATGGGTTTACCAGGGAAAGGAGAGGTGAAAGGGACACTGTTATCCCAGCCTGGGCAGGGAAGCTTTCCATCCATCTCCATTTCAGGGAGTTCCTCCAATGCCATCAGGGAGTTCCTCCAATGCCATCTTCAGAGGAGCCCAGCCATACCTTACAGAATGGGGGCCCTGTTTGTTTGTGGTAGGAGAGTCATATTCTGTCAATATTGTCTCAATACTAAGTATTTCTGCAGGAACTTGGCATTTTTTTATCTTGGCATTTTATTAAGGACAATGGATAATGAAAGAATTTTTAATTCACTGGTTTGAGAGCTTGATTTATAGTCAGTATTTATTTTATGCTGGCTAGGTACAAATCCCTTGACCTTTGCTGTTTCAATGATTTTAGATATTTCAGTGATGTGAAAGCAGATTGCTTGGAAGTCATTCAATAGTCATGTTCAGACATTCCCTAAATTATTTTCAGCAGTATCTCCAATTCTTTATATAATGTATGGTATTGTAGATTTCCACTTAGTTCATAGAACCAGAAGCCTACCAGACTGCAAGACTGAAAAGGCCTAAGCAAATAACTTTTCAGTGGAAAAGTCAGGAAGATACAACATCACACAAAATACTGAATTCTTACAGTATGTATACAGATATGTAAACATTATTTTGTTAATCTCCCTGTTTTTCAGTGCTCTAAATGATAAATTGCTGTATTTCATTAATATATTTCAAAGTGTATAATTTCCTTGAGTGACAGAAATGCCAGTAATTTGGAGAGCACAAAGTGTCCAATTACAAACCTGAAAAGAACATTCACTATATTTCAGTTACTGATAGATGAGCATAATTTCTGTGGAGGAAAGCCATACTCTCTCTGCCTTGTATCAGAAAGATGGAAGAACATTATGGATCAGGACACTGACAACAGGGGAACATACTTTTTGGTTTCAGACTGCACGTGTGAATTCAGCCAGTTCTGGAGCCACTGGAAGTTGCTGAGGTCTTTGTACTCCAGTCTGAGATGAAACTTATTGTTTCCTGATCGTTGGACCTCATCTAGTGGTTCAGTCCTTCCTCCCCGCTCTTGGCCACACAGTCCTGACCTTTTCTTCTTGCCCTGGCTCTGGCCTTCTGTGCAAACTCTGGGGCTACCCGTGCTCACCTGCCTGACCCAGGGGCTCTTCCTCCCCAGTACAGTTTTCTTTCCAGTGTGTGAACTGCCCAGCATCCATATACAACAACTGCCAGAGCAGGAGGTGACAGACAGGACAGATGAATAGTTATTACAGGGATAAATTTCATAATCTTCTCATTAACCCATTTCTGAGCCAGTTACCAGTGTAGGACCATAGTAGACGCATTTAGAATATGACTTAACTCATAAAGTCTTTGAATGCATTACAGACCTCAGGATACTACAGTACTCTACAGAATAACAATGATAAAAAGCTAGTGTGATGTACTCCTTTCTCATACATTAACTGTATACGCTCTTACTAAAAATGCCTTAAGTGTTAATTCCCATATGTTTAGCTACTTTGGATTAAAAATAGAGGTGGCAGTATCTTCATTTAGGTAGTGTGACAAATGGCAATTTAAATTCAGAAAAGAAAAAAGTATTCCAAGCGGTATTGGTTTGATTACAGAACGTATAGTACAAATTAAGGCAAACGTTTTGGAGAAAAACTAATGCAGAATCTGCATCTTGACTCTAATACAATCCACTCAGGTAGGGGCCCTGTGAGTAGACTGTCATTTATACCACGTCATGGGTGTGATGATAGCTGTGAAAATGTGAACTGAACAAACGAACACTACAGTATGCAAAGTGCTAGAGACAGCGTCTTTGAAAGATGTGAATCACCCTATTTATGCCAGTCTTACTATTGAGAGGACTGCAGAATGCAGGGGTGCAAGTAGGGGATTTGTTCCCCCCATGCTGTGTGGTTCCTGGTGCGCTGTGCATGTCTGGGATCATTCCAGAGCTAGGACTGACTGACCAGCACTTGACCTTGTGATAGCCTGCATGTGTTGGACTGGAGCTGATCCAAGCTGGCCTGGCTGCTTTGGCAACTTTGAGGGCCAGTGGGGTGCCTCTTCCATTTTGGACAGCACTCAGGTTTGTGAGTGACAGAAGCGGCTCCTTTTGCATCTTTCTCCACCTAGATGATGGGAGGAAGAGTGTGGACTTGATTAGCCTTATTAAGATGAGAAACTGAGCCAAATGTGGGACACATCATACACTGCTTTCATTCTGTGTACAAAACTCAGTGTACACAAAGTGCAAGCCAGATGGAAGAAGCAACTTCATTTATCAAAGGAGAGCACATGCACATTTATATTTTGTTTGTTCCAGCTCTTTGATACTAACTTTCAGGGGTCCCCCAATATGAAATACTGCAACTGTTCAATGAAGGTACCAAATGGTAATGGTACCCAAAAGCATACGTATAAAAGGGAATACGTACTTGGCTTACTTTTCACTTTATTATAAAAGAAGACATGAACATTCAATGAAGCTGAAAAAATAATCCAACTAAAACCCAGAACACAAATTTTGGGTTTATATGGCATAGTTAATGTGCAGCTCAGTGCCCCAAAATTGGTGGTGTCAAATGCTTGAAATTATTTTTTTATTATTTTTTATTACTTATTGGATTACCCAACATATACATTTTGCTTTTTAAGGCTTGCTTTTGTGCAGGAATTAGCCTGTTAACCAGTGTGAGACCAGAACAGAATTTTTCATTTGGACTTGATGTTCCAGATGATTTTTCACCTTCCTGTGAACCAGAGATAGTGGTATGTCCCTGGAGCGTGACACATCCTGGCTTGACAGGAATTTCTGGAGACTGTGTAAAACTGGAAAGAAAGACTCAGGGCCGAACTGTTCAGTTTAGCATTACTATAATGCTACAATAAGTTCTACAACAGTGCTGCTTTTAGCTTATTTGAGTGTGTGGTTATATTCCTTTTATACTATTGCTGTAAAATAATAAGTAGCTTCAAACCAGACTTCCAGAAGCAAAAGCCACTGAGAAGTTCTAACCAAGAAGTCGAGGCACCCAGTCTTCACATATTACAAAGCCCCTTGTATGTGGCATACAAGGGGCTGCCTCGAAGGAAGTCTTTATTTAAAGACTTCAGCATTGTGGTTTTGAAATCAGCAACAATAATTTCTTTCCAGGCGTGGGACACTTCAGAGGACTGTCTGCTAAGACATGATCACTATTTTTGTTAGTGAGCAAATGACACATATAAATGACAGACACTAAAGAGTGGAGGTGGCAGCTAGTCTAACCCTGAACCTGAGCCATAGAATCATAGAATCATTTAGGTTGGAAAGAACCTTTAAGAATGAGTCCAACTTCTACCTTAACACTGCGAAGTCCACCACTAAACCATATCCCTAAGTGCCACATCTACACATCTTTTCAGTACCTCCAGGGATGGTGGCTCCACTACTTCCCTGGACAGCCTGTCCCAGTGCTTGATACCCTTCCGATGAAGAAATTTTTCCTAATATCCAATCTAAACCTCCCCTGGTGCAAATTGAGGCTGTTTCCTGTTGTCCTGTCACTTGTTACTTGGGAGAAGGGTCCAACACCCAACTCGCTACAACCTCTTTTTGGAGCCAACCTAGCAAAGCTTGGAATTTTTCTCCAGCCTGTTTCCACACTTTCTTTTTTGCAAAGGCACTCTTTATCTTTTATTTGCATTTGCAAAAAACTCAGTTCTCTAATACAATACAGCCACAGAAAATGGTGAGAGAGATTTTAAAGTTGTATGTCTCTGTCTTCGCGTAATCTGTATATTGAGTTGGCAGCTTACAGCTTCCTTCCTTAAATGCCACTTTAACTTCCACTTAAATTCTCCTTTCTTCTCACCAAAGAGCATGTGGTGCTGGTCAGAAGGGCTGTTCTTACTTCCCACTGTTCTATCTTTGGGCTAGTTGGACCACTGATTTGATCTGAAATAGCAGTTCCTATGTTACTAAAGCTTGAGCATGAAAAGGATTTTTAGACACTTACTAATGACTGAAAAGAATTATATAAATTTAAAGTCTATTGGCACATGCGATCTACACCCCCAAGACACTATGGGTATAGAACCTGCTGTGGGACCATTTCTGTGCAGGGTGTGAGGCAGAGCTTGACGAGTGCAAATTCAGTGGCTGAACAAAACTATGGACAAAATGTTGTCTAAATGGTGGAACATGCTTTACTTCTCAGTGCAAAATTGAGAAAAAGCAGAGAATGAAGAAATAGCTACATCCGACATAGTTACATGTTTCCTATCTCAAATAATTCCTGCTAGTAGCATTTGGTGCCATAGTGTAGCATGGATTAATGGTAGGTAAACTATGTCTTCTCCTCTCTCCTTATTTATATGCAGATGCAGTTTCCTTTCTTTTCAATATATTTTTAACAAGCATTTAATTGCAATGAAAATGTTTTCTTTGCTCTTCCCATGCAAAGAAAATACTCCCTTCTCTTACTATTATTGCTATTATAGTACAGTATGCTGTTATCATTATTTTTGTCATGCTTTTATTCCCCTGTAGAATTTGTTTGAAACTGGAGAATAATTGGAATTAACCTTTCTCCCAGGGAACAACTAGTTGGGAAAAGTGAAACACAGAATTTGATGTAATAGGAAATAATGACGTTTTGCTACATTGGCAAAAATCAACAGTTTTTCTACAACTCTGAATCTGTACAAACAGGAAAAGCGGAAACATACAAGCCTCTTAGGGATATAAAATTGGCAGAGCTGTTCTCCTGCAGCCCAAATGGTTATTTGGTATTTGGGTTCTGAACATCTTCCTTCTGTTAAAAAGAAAATTTGGTTGTGTTAGGCGTTTTTGGTGTAATCTGGTTTATTTACCAAAAGGCAGTAAAAAGTCATAAATCCTGTTTCCTAGAATAGATTAGCAGCTTTCAAAAATTTATCAAAGTTGATTCTCTTTGACCACAAAAAAGGGTTCAGAGTAAGTTTATTTTCACACTTTTTTTTTTTAAGTAAGTTTGTTCTTACACTTTTTTCTCGTGATTCAAGGGAAGCCTTATAACCACATTTGAAATGTGCTTTCTGATATCCTATGAACATGGCTGCACAGGAAGGAGACTTGGAGAGAAGAAAGACAGAAACATGAGGGGGAATTCATAGTACCATTAGTGCTAAAAACAAGAGTTCAGAAATTCTATCTCAGATGCCAAATCGATATGATTGGCTGCCAAATTAGAGATTTTTTAAATGACTGTACACAATTTTTGTCTGCATTTTGAAATTTGAACACTTGGTGTTACTTCTTCTTTCCACCATATGTATGTGTATGTACATGCGTGTGAATATATAGCCATTAAATTAGCCACTTCTTCCATATTTCCTCACAAAGAAGGTATGTAACTCCAGTTTTCCTTTGCTGTAGTGGTTCTTACTTCTAAGTCTCTCTTGCAATCAATCATTCCCCCATTCTGCCCCCAAAATGCCAGTCTCTCATCACTCCCATACTTCTGGGCTCCTGCCTTCTGCAGGGTGAGGTTTCAAGCATTGAGGGAGGAGGACAGAAGAGCTGAAGGATTTGAGATGCTGCCTTGTGTTCCTTCTGTTGCCCTTTTCCTAATCTCCTGAAAGAAAAACTCAAGGAAAACTCAGCCTCTTGTTGCAGCTCAGAGTTGCTGTTCTCTTTCAGAAAATGGGTAAGTGAAGCAGACAGTGAGTCAAAGGGGTTTCCTTTTAAGATGGGACTGAAATCCATAAAAGACCTGGAATTTTTCTTGTCATCAACACGCTGGCTTCAGTCTTGGACCAAATTTCCTGCTCTTCCTTCTCCCATTAGGAAGGGGAGCTGGCTGCTTAGCTACAGAGAGCTCTGTGAACTGGATGCAGGTGACAACTCTTGGAGACATCATTCAGTGAAGGTGGGAGAAGCCCACTGAGAGACTGCTGTATAAACACAATGTCAAATATTTCTAGGCCAGTCGTGTACTTCCATGAGCTTCCTGAGCCTGGGGGTGTGAAACTGAATGAAGGATTGCTCGTCTAAAAGAATAGCAGCCAGGATACTTCTTAGGTGATAAGTCTTTCAAATTCCTATGGAAAAAGAGGAGCATCATCAAAAAGATGTAGGTCAGGCAGAGCTTTGTATGGTAATTCACTTCTTGCTTTCCTTGTTTCCAATCAACTTGAACAGTGACATCTTGATATCACATGTATTATACCTGTCTTCACTGTCGTGGATTACAGTGGCAGTTCTGCTTGGTGGGAGGTTTAACAAAAAAGGATTTCTCTGCCATTCAGTTCTCAGTATTTTTTCCACCTACAAAAATAACCCCTTCAGCCCTTTGATGCCCAGACAATTCAGCACAGCCGGTTTTTTAATCAAGGACTTTAATCAAGGATTCTCAAAGTCCTTGAGATTCTAGGTGAAGAGACACCTTGTATATATCCTTGCTACAGTGACACAAAAGGTGGTTTCCCCATCACACCAAAGACTCATTTACAGGTGGCCAACCATGCTGAAAGAAACTATTATCAATAGTTATAAATACTATATAAACACACTATTTATACTATGTAAATACAGTATTTATACTATATAAATATTCTATTACTATTAGCTTTCCTTTTCCCTTCCTTTTCCACACATTGCTTAGATTGTGCATGTAGTTTACAACTGGACCAGCTCCAGTCGACAAATGCTAGAGTAAAATTTTCTTTCCATGTAGCCGTGACTGGTACGTATGTGCCATTTTAGCTAATCTCATCAAAACAGGTAAGCTTTGATAACTTTGTTATCTGTTTTGCTTACTACCATCCAAAAGGACACTTTTTCCTAGCTACTGTTGGAAAGGGAGAGGCTACTTGATGGGTGCAGAAATGTTCCTGCTCTGATTTTGCATCCAGCAGGCATATGGAAGGGCACCTTTCTGCAAATGTGGCTGGTTCCTGATTGCATCGGCTCCAGGGCTTGGGCACAATTCTCGGTGGTGGTTTCCAAGTGGTTACAAGCTGGTCCTGATTGTTTCAGGAACAAAATTACATTTGCAGTTCCCCCAGTAACACACTGTGATTTGTTCAAGGACAAATCTGGACTAAGACAAGTCCAAGTTTCTCTTTTGTTAGGCAGAAGGGAAGTAAAAGTAGGTAACTATAGTCACCCATATGAGTAAGCCAGGAATTCATGAAGTGATTCATAAATCATTATAAAGACCACTGAAGTCTACTAAAAAGGAGTCCTGTCTGGCTACACAAAATAGCACATTATTTTGGGGAGGGTTTTTTCGATGTTAAATCAAATGTGAAATCTGTAAAACTTTGCTTTTCGCTTAGAGTTTTGATTTTTTCCCTGTTGTTGGTTGCTGGTTATAACCATGTTTTAGAGACTAATTTTCACAAATGAATTTTGAAAACATAGAGGATGATATCCCATGTTTTTTAAAATAGTAGTAGTAATAAAAAAACCTGTGCTTTGCTCTTAATCTCTGGCAGCAGATTACAGTGTTTCTGTGTGAGTGATATACAAAGAGCTAACTCCAGTCCTTAGTCAGGAGACATATAATCAAGTAGTTGTAGGAATTTTTAAAAACCTCTGATATTTTTATCACAGTATACCTACTGATTTGTCTTTTTTAAAAAATTATTCTCTAGCCTTGTTGTGAAACACATGAATGCTTTATTCTTTTCCTCCCTATTATTTCTTTAAGTCTACCTGGAACAATGAAATATTGGATACATTAAAGACTCAATGACTCAGTAGCGGCAACCTTATTTCCTCCATCTATGTAGCATATCTGAAGTAATGTATGTCTTTATTAAGTTAATCAGCACAAAGACCATCCAAACCCTATCTAATATGCCTAAAAATGCGATTCTCAAAGATAAACAAATAGGCAGTAAATTGTCCAAAGTTCATCTTGACACATGCTATACTCTAAATGTAAATTGTGGATCTACCAGAAATGTAGTAAGAGGTTTCAAATTAGGTCTAAATCACACAGGTAATGTGTGGCAGATACTGACTCTGAGCTGCAGCATCAAAGATCTCATGTGTCTTGGATTTAAATGCGGTTATAACCTGTACGATGATCCTGTCCAGAGGTGTTCTGTAGTGCTGCTACTGCAGTTGCGCCTTCTGTTGTATTCAGGGTGAGATTACACCTCCCTTACACTTCTGCAGGAAAAACATTCTTTATGGCTAGGTTAAAAAAAAGTCATCTAGTGTATTGAGGTCCTGTCTCAGGAGAACACAGACCAGTTCCACACTTCAGGATCCTGTCAGACTGTGTTAAGTGCAAGCACCAGTCCCTCCCAGCAGCAGCTACTGAGCACACCCACCACAGAGAAGGGTAGGTGGGTGCTCTTGCTCGGCACAGGCTTGCAGTTTGCTTTTAGGAGTGGAGAGAGAGGCTGACCTATGACAAGAATGCCACATCATTTTTCACTCACCCTCTTGCAGAAATATCTGGACTCTTTTTTGTTGGCCTTCCAGTGCTCCTCTCACAGATGGGAGAGTGGCCCTGAGCCATTCCCGAGCCCAGGCTGAACTTTCATTTACAAATTAGATCCCAGTGGTCTAGTGGGTAGTTTGGTCTTTGGGGACACAGACCAGAGCTCTTCTGATCTGCAAAAATGACCGTAGCACCTATTTGTGATGTACTTTGAGGTATGCAATTTTAAGGAAAGGTAGAAAAAAGTTGAAGTTACAAAGTCTGTAAAACCCTCATGTAAAATCCTCAAAGTAGTGTATATCCTTGTAGTGTCAGTAGTGACAGAGCTGTGCAAATCATGCCACTGAAGTGATGAACCTCTGTGGCAGCTGTACCACCCAGTTCGGTGTGAATGTTTTTCCTCGTTTGCCAGGCTTCTAAGTTGATACTTTTGAGTCCAGATCAACATTTTGATGTGGTCACACTCTGCACAGCTGGAAGCAATTTCATTTGCCTTTATGTACATTATATTGACTTCAGATTGTTTCTTTTCAGATAGCTGTGTGTAACATACAAAGATTTCTAGACCTTGAAACCTGAACCTGGACCTGAACCTAACATCTAACTCCTCAGTGTCCAATGACCAGAACTGACTGCTCACTTCCAGTGGGGAAGGACAGCTATTTATTGACAGATACAGTTGATACAAAGCCTTGCAATGAGACAGCTAGCAATGCCTCAGAAATCAGGTCCCCCATAGGGTCCCTCATATTATGACTTAAACCCACACACAGAAGTTAGAAGGAGTTTTCCATTATAAGGGTACAATTTAGCCTTTTAATTTCCCATTTGTTAAGTCTAATGATATGTCATTTGAAAATACATCTTCTCTGTATCTGGGGTGCAAACTGTTCTTTTACAGTAATCTAAGAAAGTAGAAACAAACTCTAGCTCTTATCTGTTGGAGATTTTACAGTTTTATGTTTCTGAACTCCTAGATTTGTTGCTCCGGCTTCTCCTAACCACATGAGCCCCCACAGAATTTCAGTTCCACACCACATGATGCAGAGACGGACTCCACAGCCTCCCCACCTTCAACAGCCTACAGGAATGCCTCTAAAGACATACCAGCAAGGAGGAAACCCTTCTGTTCAACCAAATAGCCTCTACATCCAAGGTAAGAAGGAAGAATCTTCATTACTGATGTTAGTTGTTTGCCACTGCTGCTTGGCTTCAAATTAAGTGCTTCAAAGGTTGGTGCTGGTATTTTTAAGGCACCTTTCCTTTTGAAAGACCCTGGGATGACCCTGCCTTTAGACTTCCTTAAAATTCTTAGCTTAGCTAATTGTTGTTTATCTTACTATGGAGTAATGGGTTTCTCTTCAGATTAATTTTCAGAGCTGTTGTTGAAATAGAACTGCAAATAATTCTGTGATGGCCTCTGCTTTTAATTTTCGAATGTTATGTTTCTAATCCCTCCTGATTTTACACATAAAGTGTTACCAGGTTTTCAAGAGGTGGAATATTTTTTTCCTTGCATTTGTGAGGGATGGAGATCTCTACTCTTATTAGCATACACATCTCTTACAGCTGTGTTCCCACTTGCGCTGTGTAAACAGGTTCTACAAGACTTCTCTCTCCCTCTTTGTTCAATCAAATATAAATTTCTGTAGCCAAGAAGAAAATTAACAGCAGCTGAAAACAATGTTGGATTGTTTTGGGGTTTTTTGCTAGCTGGTATGGAGCCTGAATGGTAATTACCTTAACATTTCAGAAATGTGTTGACAGCAGTAGTGCTGTTTCCTGTCAACTGTTTAAATATATGGTTTGCCATATTTACATACACAAGGTACATAGCACACTAGACTTTTATGGGCTTTGGGATTCTGCTTTTTGATCAGGCTTCTTGAGAATTATCACAGTAGATACCATCACGGAAACATCTTAAAACAACTAAGGATTCTTTTATTTTCTTCCACTGATGGAAGCAGTCTCTCTAGGCAAAGGCATGAAATAGGGTGCTGAGGCATCTCTTAGAGTTCAGGAGTGTGAAGGGGAGAAAGTAAGATGCCTGTCCTGTTTTGTTCTTCTTATCATACTAGACTACATGTGAGCAGCTTTTCTTTTCCAGTACTGATCGGTGCATCCTGTACAGTGCCAATTAGTACTAGAAGAACATGAAATTTACTAATGGATGTAAACAGTTATTGTTGGCTTTCCCTATTTTCTGATTAAAGTCTCACTAATAATCGAGGGCAAACAGAGTGCAGGATGAAATTATTAGTATACTGTTCATTGTCATATAACATATGCAAAGACATGCCAGAGCAGGCCCCATAAATTCCTAGCATATGGGGCATGAAGGGATCAGGTTAGCACCTTCCTATTTCCACAGTACAGTACATTTTACTCAGTTCCTTTTTTTGCTAAATATTTGGCAAGAACTCATCTTCCAGAAAGGCGTCAGACATTAAGGTCTGTCTTCCTGCTTGCAACAAAAACTGTCTTTGAGTGCATAGATGGTTTTACCACCCTTTTGCTCTTATTGTCGTGGGAGCTTCAGTAGTTATAGAAGCCAGGATCACAACCAATTGCTCCAAAGTTGAACAGTTTCCAAAGAATCCTGCCTCCCAGGGGCTCACAGATCACCTCAGACTGGTTGCTGCTCCACAGAGGACTTGCACTGGCTGGTGTACCTAGCTCCATGTCTGCTTGCGCATCTTCTCTTTAGGGCACGCCAGAGTGATGCTACTGTGTTCTCCTCGCCCCCTCTTACAGTCCAAAGAGGAATTTTAAAGTACAAAAGACATGCATCATTAAAACCATTATAAGAAGAATGCTCAGTAGAGAGACCCTCATCTGGGCAAATGTCACATATGGACTGAGGCCCCATTCCACATCCAAATTTAAGACAAAGCTTAATACTACCTTCTGAGTGAATCAAAAAAATGGATAACTTGAAGGGCTTGTGGTTTCAGCCTAAGCTGAAAATAGACATTGCTGGCAGGAATTACATACATATAGGTAGCAAGTCGAAGTTGCGGTTGTAAAGATCTTTGCACTTTAAACTGGTAGGAGGATAATGTAGGTTGAACTTTAGGGTGAAGGTTTTTTTAGCATTGAAAGATGCAATACACTGCAATACAACAGCCACAGCAGGGTATTAAATGTTCTTTCAAGGATTAAGTAACCTATTGTGGCTATAAGAGATACTTTGTCAGAATGTCCTCCCTCCAATTTAAGCACAGCTGTCTCACTCCTTCGTGTTACACTGAAAATTTCGTTTGTCCTGTGTGCCTGAAAGGCTTGCCTAAACTCTCCCTTTCAAAAGCAAACGTTTCAAGAGTTCATGGTCGTGTTTTCCCAGCAGCAATACAAAGATTGCTATCTTCCTTGGTGACATCACAAGAACGTACTAAAATGCCAGTGTCTGTGGGAAGCACTGGTAGTTTCTGCCTCCTGCAGTTCATAACCTGTCTTTTCATGATTTAAAGTGCTGTAGTTGTAGCCACTTCAGCTCAGTCCGCTACCAAACAATGGTGACATTTTTGTCTCAATATGTAGTCTTAAGCTTGTCAACTCCATTTAAATTGGCTGTAGCGAAGAAGAAAGAGTTTCATTGCCCGAAAGCTTTTTGAAGAAAACAAGTTCTAAACAGGCTCCCTTACTGAAAGCCTGAGTATCTTAAAAGCTCATGGAGATCTCAGAGCACTATCCTTTAGAAAGAAATGATGTAGGAGATCCAAGACAAGCCTCTTATATCTAATAGCTACTCGTGTTGTGAAACTGCTTTTTCTTGCAAGAACATTGTCTAAAGTCCAGATTTCATTATTTATTCTGAATGATATTCAGCATCAGACACACAGTAATGTCAGAGAGGGCTTTTTATTGCCTTGGTTGATGTTATATAACAGGCTAAATATTCCCTTTCCTTCTTCTTGTGAAATTCACAATTTCTCTTGCTGCATCGGATGCTTGGCAGTGATGATGTTACACAACTCACTGAGCTGCAGAACTAAAGCTCTTCTTTTTCTTTCATTAGACTTCAGTATCTTTTATTAGATCACCATAGGCAGCAAATCTGAAACTATCCTGAATTGGAGACTGGAGTGACAACTTCCCAGCTTGATGCTGTTGTACACCATTGTACTATGTTGGTAGACAGAATAGAAGACTGTGCAGGTCCTGGAAATCTCCAACAGTTGGCCCAGGATGTGTATTGTACTGCTGAGTCTTTCCAGCCAAGAAAAACTACAGGGATCTCAACAGAGGCAGCTGAAGACACAGGCATCTGCAGCACACAGGCAGCTGCTCTGAGTATTCTAGTCTAAGGTATTCTTCTGAGACAAGTCTGAAGAGATGCGTGAGGTAGGAAAGAAAAGAACAGCAACAGAAACTCCTCCTTCACAGTGAGCAAGCTTCTTGTGCTTATAGTATAGAGTGAGGTAAAGCTCCTTTGGGCATGGACGTAGCTGACTTGATTTTGGATGCTTCTGATACTGCGCTAGGCATTTTTGCACTAGCAGTCTGACTGTCCTTTAAAATTGTGCCTGTAACTCATGTCATATGTGTTTGTGAGTTAAGCTGATGACCAATGCTGGCTAAGTAATGCAGTAAAAAAAAAAAGTATTCAGTAAAAAAAAAAAGTTGCCATTTCTTTAAAAAAATTTCTTTAAAAAAAATGTTAGCTGCTATGAGTTAGCTATACTAGTGTGTGTACGCAGGCAGCTCTACTAGTAACAGTTATCTTTCAGTTACAAATGATCAGATTTAAATAAACAGAAAACATTTATAGTTTCGCACATTTGCAAGTAAGTCTGGCAGTACAATAAGTGACTTGTATCTCTGTCTTACTCTTTCTTTTCCTTTTGTTCTTCACACTCAGATGGTACCAGATGATTATGTGATGTTTGTGTAATTGACCTAATGGACCCTGTAGAAATATACTGCAGAGGAACACAATTGTGAAGTAGTTCAGGCCAAAGATAGCTGGAATTTTTACTTACCATAGCAGTAAAGACTACTCATGTATGATTTGTATTTCTTAATGGCAGTTATAATGATTTTCTTGAGAAAATATTCTGTCTTTGTGGTGCCAGGCAGAGAGCTGACTGAGGAGGAAATACGTGTCTGTCAGAAACTTTTCACCTTATGGAAATTATAACTGTGGCAGTCATTCATTACATATCTGTGATGAAATCATTCTCCACATCAGTGCAATGGGATCAGGACTCTGTCACAAACTTATGTGGACCATGATTTCAGCTGTGAATTTGAGGTGGGCTGTGTACCTGGGATTTTCAGATGCACAGCATCTCTCAGGATGAGACTCTGTATGTGATAAAGAACAAGAGCTTCTTGCTTTTAGAATGGATTCTGCAGCATACAGCTATTTTATCATATTTAAAATTATTTTACTTTCCTCAGGAAGTAATGCTATTATGCCAGAAAAAGAACTGTTTATTCTGTATCTTGACATCATGGATCTTGGCTATGGTGTACTGATTCAGAGAAACACAGTTGACATAACCTTGTGCGTGTGTGTGTGTTTTAAATAGTTTAATAAGAGAGCAACTGATACAATCCAGAGCTGTAGTCCTGAGAAGAAATGTTCAGTTGCTGGAACTTCAGTAGTGAACCTGTTTGCTTTTTTTATTTTTCCAGTACTGCATGAAAACACAGAAAACTGGTGCTACGGGTAGTTCACTAACAGATAGTTTCAAACGAGGGGCCAGCTATAGTCAAGGTCTAGGCACGGAATTGCATATGGTTTCATGTTATCCTACATTCAGCAGTAGTGTAGATTATCTTGAGCATGGAACCATGTGGATAAAGGAAAGAGCTCCTGATACCAAGTTAGGACATTTTGCTGTGTCATGTTTGGGCTCCAGTTCAAAGACCTCTACACTGTGACCTGATGCACTGCAGACATGGACAAAGACATTTAGAACAGTGCTAAATAACAGAGGGGAAGAGAATGATGTATGCTGTGTTCTGCTCTTTCCGGTTTATGGTTCTCCGTTTTGTAAGGTGGATATTTATTACACTGAATCATGAAAAGAACATGGGTCTCGGAAAGGTGAATTATTTTTGTGTGCTCTCTTTCCATCTTGAAAAATTATTTGGGGGTTGGTCAGTTAATGAAAGTGCTTTGCGCACTTCCCTGGTTCTTTCTGCCATATAGTGGTTAAGGTACGAATGGGTCAAAGTTTGTAAGACTTTGCTAGATCATATTCTTTTGCTTGAGCAGGGAATGAGCAAACACAGAGGATGTGACTCACAATAGCTCAACCCCAAGGTAAGTAGTTTTTCTGCCAGACTTCAGCTAGCAATAGTCAAAGTTATTGCCAGATTGTTCTGCATCGGGAACAGGCTGCTGTGAGAAAGGCACAAACAGAATAAGCACAGAGAAATGTGAAAGGACATTTCTGCATGTGTCTTGAAGGGTCTTGCCAGCTGGCTCAGACTACTACAGATTGAAATAATTGTTTCTGGTAACTAGTCTGACTCAACAGTAAACTTTCACAGTGTGTCCTATTGCTGGTTGACAGAAAAGTTGATTTTGAAAGCTCCTTTTAAAGGAGGAAAAAATTATCAACAGCTGTGTAGCTTTTAAGTCAAGTTTTGAATGGCTATTGTTTTTTCTTTCATTTTATTTTATTTTACAGTTGATTCTTAAATGTCAGGACTGAGCATTTAAGGATCCACGGGTTGTAAATTCCTAACATGCTTTGCAGTCTGACTCAGTTTTGTTGCAGTTAAACTTTAAAAGAAAAAAAAAGATTGAAACCGTCATCTTACAGCTAGGCCTGAAAAGTGCCTGCAGGTCCTGCAAAAGACAATGAAATCTATGAGCATTCAGCCTCTCCAGAGTGAGCACAGAATCTGCAAATTGTGCCTGCTGTGGAAAAGGACCCATGATTCTGCTTTTTCTTTCTTTTTTTCTTTTACTTTCGTGGTTTTTTTCTTTCTTTTCTTCTTTTACATGAAGTCAAAAAACCTCTTTTTTAATGCAGATTTTCAGACTTGATACTGGCAATTGTTTCAGTGTTCTTTTCACGTTACTGTTTGCCTGATCTAAACTCTTGTTATGTATGTGTAAATTAGGCATTTATCTCATTGTGTACACAGAGGTGTCTTGCAAGACTACTAAATAAAATGCAAAGGCTGTGTTTCACTTACTGTTGTTACCTAGGCCTCCCCATAAGGTCTCTTCTTTCTGGGTGCAGTTCAGACTGTCTTTTGCTGTCCATAGTAACAGCCTATTCTGATGTTTTTAAATAGTGAGTTTTCTGTTTCAATTCAAGCACATCTTATGCATGCCAACATTTGTATGTTTCCTTACAGAGACCACAGAAATTAGTCTCAATTTAAATATAATCAGGATCACAAAACTCCTAAATCATCCATCCTTCCTCCCACTTGGCAGAAAATCAGTTATGTCACATAAAGTGATACAGCATGTTTTCCACTACATCTTTCTCCTTTCTCCGTCTCTATTCTTTATGAAATGCATTATCTGTAGATAAACACTCAGTCTGGCTTTATCAAATAAGAGTCCTATGTCCACGCTTCCATAGGAAAGTTAATGGAAATACACCTAGCTCCTAACCACAATCCAGAAAAATTTTGCCAAGTGTCTTGTGTTCATAACATGCTTCTAAGCATAGACTATCCCTGTGAAGGGATTTGAGGTTGGAAGGTTTGTTTGGGCTGGGGTGTGGAACTGCAGCAATTTTTGTTCTTAAAATACTTTTTATTCGTAAGTCAAAACTAGATGCCCCATGCAAGGCATTTCTAATTACTAGCAATGAATGAATAGGGCAATAGTTACATTCAGTTGTCATATAATATCCAAGATATTTATACATGTCCATCTCAAATATCCATAGGTTGTGAATCCATGTTTCATGCTTCCCGTGAAAGGATCTCTGTTTATGATCTCCTGTCCTCTGGGATATCTTCTTGATCCTTTCTGAACTGTTAAATGGTACTGAAAGGCCTTTTGTCGTATGCTGCCAACCCAAACATGCCATTACTTTTAGGGAGGGACATGAGCTTTTCATTCTGTCAACTAATCTGCTTACTGCTCATGGTTTGTTACTGCTTATGGGCATCAGTAGATCCCAGGCGTGAAAGCTGAATGTCTGGTACTAAATATGCTTTCCGAACTATACAGTATGGATGTACTGAGACTAATTCTTCAACACATGGAAGAATGAACTTGAGCTGGCTCTCTCTGTAACTATCCAGATTAGGATTCCTTGTTCCCTCCTAGTACTAAATGCTCTTTGAAGTCAAGTCTGTGAACATTTATAATCACTGAAAGCAACAAGGTTTCCTCCTATTCCATAATATCCAAAAGACAATAAACAGATGCTTGAGAGGGCAGTCATTGAAGTTCTTTAATTGTAAGCCAGCATCTGCAGTACGGAGTTTATATACAGAAGATGCATTGAATGATGTTTTTTTTCCCCTTTATGCCTTTGTTTCCAATGATGCTGTTTTAATGGTTTAGAGAAGGGTTTGTTTTGTTTCTTTTTATTGACCTTTCTACACTAAAAGGAAATTCAGCTGGAAGGACTTTGTAACATGGATGTTGGTTAACTAGACTGGCTAGAGAAGACAGCCCTGCACGCCAGCTTTTTCTATTGACAGTGAAGTCTCCAGAATAAACTTGAGACACAGGAAATTCCTTAAGACGCTTTCTGAGGCAGGGGTTCATTTTTCTGACAGCGGCTTTTTGGTATGACTTGCCACAACATAGTCTTCATCAAGAGAATAACACATCAGCCCTTAAGCAATAAGCTGTTTGCTAATAAAATCTTCAGGGACTGTATCACTCCTGGGCCTATTTTTGGACAGTCAAGGCCTACAATTTCTGTGTAACACCTTGGACATAATGTACTGTCTTTTTCTTTATTCCTTTATGCACATAAAGAGAGTGGTGAGAACAAGGAGCCACTGCACTGGCAGAAAGGAGCTCGATTCACAGTTTTTCTTAAAAGAAAAATATGTATACATTGTAATACTGAATTTATAATGGTTTCATTTCTGACATATACTCTTAAGAACATATTATGGAAAACATAAATAAATGCATACCACAGTCTTTCAGCTATAAAAGCCATCCTTCAGACTCTGAGCAAAATCTCCAAAGCTTAGATTTAGTGGTGGTCTTTTAAGGTGGAGATAAGACCTTGCTTCCATGAGAAAAATGTTCAGGCCAGCCTACTGCAGAACATCTGTCTGTGCCTCTTAGATTGCATATGTGTACCTGTTTTACCAAGAAGCGTGGGTTTGGTTATATAAATATATATTTTGGCATGAACTTGAATGGGAATTTACTCAGTGCTTATATGCCTCTCTCAAATATCACTTAAGGAACAAAAAACAGCTTAAAGAACAAAACCCTGGTAGGGACGTTTTGTGTTATGTGACACAATGGTGTCAATTCTCTTCCATGTGAACTCATTGCTACTGACGAGTGGGTTTGACTCAACCAGTACTTAGAAACAGCAGCCCCATGGATCATCAGCTGGCAGCCCTTCCTAGTCTCATATCCCTGTCCCCGCTATCAGCCAGCTGTCTTGGCATCAGTGACAGACCCTCAGATTTTATTCAGATCCTACTTGGGTAATCTTCCTTTATTGTGAATTAAGCATTTTCTTAGATTTTTCAGGCAGCAGCCCAGTGTGAAATCTGGAGAGTACCAGTTCAGACAGCAGGAAATTTCCTGAAAAATTTCAGCTTCTAGCCAGTCAGTGCCTCTCACAAGTCATGCTGAAATTAGGATGTCCATGAAACAGATTGTGTTCAGAATTAGTAGCAATGGGAAGAAGTCTTAGAGAGCTTCATATCAAAACTGCTTTATTGGTGGAGAATAATTGAAGTCTTGGTGCTACTGCAGTTGACATTTTTATTATTCTCATGGCCACGGTTCCACGTGTTAGCCCTTGTATCTCTGTCCAGGTATTTTACTGACCACTTTCCTCTCCTTGTTGTAGGTTTTTATGGGCAGCTTCAGACTTTCTGCCCTCCACACTGTACTGACACTCAGAAGAATGTACAACATGGTGTTTCTTGCAATACGGTTCCTCCTTTTGAAGACTGCTTAGTTCCGACATCTGTGGGCCAGGCAGGGCTTGGAATTTTCCATCGAACTTTTTCGGCTCATTCTGGTATTACAGGTAAATGACAGGGGGCTTTGTGGATGGTTGTGTACAGTTTGTGGACTTTGACAGATCTGCTTGAACTGTGTATGTGACTGGGATTCTGTCATGACAGACTTGACCCTTCACAAAGAGGAGACAGTTTTCAGACCTTTGTGGAGTGGTTGGTACTGGGACCCAGTCACCATGGGTCATAGTAACATCTGGCTGTGTGCAGACTGCACACTGTTGAGAGCTTCTCAAAGTTCTAACCTCTGGGGGTGAAACAGTCACTAGCTTATGTATTTGCTTTGAAATACAGTCCGTTGAGCCCTGTGTGATATTTACACAGCCACTCCACTCTGCTGTAAATATTGTAGCAGGGAACTGAGATGATTCAAACCACTGATTTTCCTTTATGCATGTTTGATTTTTCTCAGTCTTGAATTTTATTTATTCATATTACCATGACAAGAACTGCCTGGGTGCACAATTTTCTGTGCACACTTGACTTAAGTCTCTGCCTCCTGAAAAGTACTTAAGGGGCTTGCATGATGTTCTGGAAGGGTGAGTTACCTCTGTTCAGAGGTTCAGCACAAGACAGTGGGCCTAATCTTAGGGCCTAAGCACAACTGATGCCCAAGTCTTTTATTGTCCTTCCACGCAGGATGATTTCACTTAACATTTATTGTGCTTTGAAACCTGTTCTATGTCTTGGTTCTTCAGTGGTACATTAAAAAGCCAATGCACCTGTAACTTTAAAGACACATCTCACACTATGTAAAAATGCAATCCAAAAGATGGGAGTTTTTCTGCAAACAGTTACTCTTGTGCTTACTACTATTGCTTGTAGAACTTCGCCATTTCTGTGCCAGGGTCTGCTTTACAGCAAATGAGTTCTGCAATATTTTATTGCTTCTTATCATATGTTGGGTATGATGAAATTTGATAAGTGAGCATGAAGTTTATTTTAAAATTTATCACAGTTTTAGCACCCATTAAGTGGGCAAGTGTTAGTTGTGATGAAATCTGTTGTACTTTAGACTCAACTATGACAGAACTGAAATTCCTCCCTTGGTAAGCAGTAAGTTATGTAATTATTAATTTCATGCATATGTTGGTTTGTTTAGTTGGTTTGTCTGTCTGGTTTAATGCCATTTCCAGTTCTCTGCATAAGTATTAGGACATTCTCCATAATAGAGCTATCTTAGTTAATTAATTATTTTTGTATTTTTTCCAGTTTATGACTTTCCAGCAGGGTCCACAGGTATCTTTGGTGATTCAGCTCGCAGCATGTCAGAGGATAGCAGTTTCCTACAAGTAAATGCAGTGGATCGTTGTTCTAGCCAGCTTTCTTCTGTTTACACTGAAGGATAAAGTAATATAAATCTAGTTACAAGAACTTGATTCATTTCATCTTTTCTCTCCATGAAACTGCCATGTATGTATGGGGATATGGGTTGATATACATACATAATGGAGAGGAAAAAAACAATCACCAAGCATTCATCATGTAATCAAGCAGTCAACTGAGAAAGAATGTTTGGAGCATGCAAGCTTTGCCAAAACCTTAGGAATTGTTTCTTCTCATTTGTGGCACAGCAAATCTACCGTTTTCTTCTTTCTTCTTTTCAATTTCTCAAAGGGAATTCACAGACTGAATAAGAAAACTGCTTGTTGGCTGTAATCCTTTCAAGCTGAATGAGTGGACTTACTGAAGAACACAGCTTTAGAAAATTCCTTTTTAAAAAAAAAAAAGGAAAATAAGTAAAACCAGAGCATACTACAAACATTTCAAAGGCACACAGCTTTTTGCACAACCTGTTCGCATGTAAAGCTTCCAAAGTTGAACGCACACCATCATTAAAAAGGGAGAGAAATTAGACATACATCTTGGCACTACCCATTGAAGGCATTGGTGCGGCTTCATTTTGGAGCCAAAGGTGATTGATACTGGATTTCTTGTAGGCCTTCATTTAGGTGTCTTTTCCTCCCCTCTGTATTTTAAATCATACAATATGGCCATTGCTATTTTTCCATATTACTTCTGACCCACTGCTTTATGCAATGAACAAGAAGGGTTAAATGCACTGCATGAGAAGGTATGTGAACTTTGTCTGTATTTAGCACAGCTGCTAGGTAAGAATGTTTTAACTTTCTGTTGATTTTTAATTCTGTAGTAGAGCTTTATTGCTGTATGTGCTATAATACTCTGTAGGAAGGTTTAATATACCCTGTAGAAAGGATTCTTCCTTAAATTCCACAGATGCTTTTAAAGGCAATCTGTACTGATTCCATTCAATTTTTGTTGCCCTAAGGTTTTTCATTTCCGTAACACATTTTCAGGAAGAAGAGCTACTCTTAAAGTTGCTATGTTCCCTCTGGTTATTTAGAGATGTAAAACTGAACGGGTTTGGTGGTTTTGATTCTTCTACTCAATGTCAGGCTCTGGTCCTCAAATTTAGTCCAGAATGCAAGCAACTGAGGTTTCCCTTCATGAAAGCTGCAAGGGTATGAGCTAAAAATAGTGTTTTGCAGTGATGTGTCATGACTATGATCCTTTAGACCTTGGGAGCAACTCTTACATTATGTAAGACTGAGTTTTCAGGTTATTAATCCTATTCATCGATTTTGTGGACTTCTTAGTGTATAGTGTGCATCTTAATATTCTCATGACCTGTTTTAATAAGAAGGAAAAAAATTCAAAGTTCATTCTTACAGGCTAGACCATAACTATGCTTCTGAAATCACTTCTCTAGAACAATGAACTTCAAAAAATGTTTATACAAACATATTTTTATCCTGAGAAGCTTTTGAGAGTTGTTCAGTGCAGTCTGGGTCAAATTCATAATTTAATTTGCCATTATGTTGCATAGATGAATTAGTATGTTTCTAAACACTGGCAATCTTCTGAATCTCATAATGGTGAAGTATATTCTTATACACAGGCATATGTGCTTATATATTTAATGGAGAGATTTTCATCCAACAAATGCAAAGAACATATGGATAAACCATGCACATAAATGGTGTACAATAAGAAGTAATATGGCCTAAATACAGATAATTCTGTACTAAATTCTTCCCCCTTTTATTCTGCTTCTCACATCACAAGTAAATGTGTCCCTCTGCTTCAGCTTGCAATAGTATGTCTAGTTGTTACTGTACGTGGTTTTCATTGGGTTAAATCAAATCAGGCTTCCCTA